ACCAACTCGAATTAACTAATTAACGCCAGCATTATGCAAGGGGGATCTTTGTCCAATCATCACTCACAGATATTCAGATTGTTTTTCATTTGAAATACAATTTTTTAATTTTCTATCAAGTTTCAAAGAAATTTTCTGGGAATCAATGTTCCGTATCCAGAGATTCTCTGCACCAAAGGATAATTATTCTGACGATTTAAGTGCCAGCCGGAAGAATGATTCCGAACCAGAGTAACAAGATTATTTTAGACAAAGAGGCTAAGTAAAGGGCGTCACGTGTCATTTGATTTCAATTCACCACCCTACCATCCCCATCGGTTAATACAATCATCCCCGTTAAACAAATAGCATTGAACCCTGGTCCATTAAACACGAATGCGTTACACGCCCACGCCTTCTCTTTGTGGAAAACAAAATTTAAAGAATTTCAAAAATAAGTTTCTAATTTTCTAATTTCCATATTTCATATCGTCAAAAAGATTCACCCTCCCAGTGTCCTAATTTTTCCGATAAATTTGCAAATTTTCTAATTTAACGTATCAAAATTCAAGCAGTAATTTCACCCCGCGCACCCCTTAATCCGTAGCAATTTCGCAACCCTCTTTGAAAGTGAACGATGGCCGAGCAACGGAGAAACTCGCAGACAATTCGCAAACCGTTCTCCCTTTATCACCTCCCCTTCCGTCTTCATCCCCTTGATACAGAGGGTGACAAGAATAACAGCGCCATCGAAGAAAAGAGTCCCACCGCACGTAGTACATTACGTATTGTGTGCTTACAGTTTATAGGATGATGCGTGGACGATCATCCCTCGGCAGTTAACTCAAATTGCATTATAGGAGGGGTGGGTCGTGTTCAGTGGCCGATTGCAGGGTGGGCTCGAAAGTAACCCCATGATTGTCGGGGTCGTCTGTAAGGGTTTCATTGCTATTGATCTAGGGTGATGGTGATCGGGGGTTGATAACAAGGGTAATCTGTCGGTGAAATTAATTTTTCTACTTGATAAAATGGTATGGAAGAGGTATAGTTAATTTAGGGTTTCAAAGATTTCGAATTTTTAATTTTGTAAATAATTGGGTTTTGAATTTCGAAGCTTTCAAATGACTAAATAAGGCTAATGAAAATTTCAAGAATTTTGGAATTCTAAATTTCTGAATTTAAAGTTCGTAAGTTTCCAAATTGCTAAATGGGATTTGGAAGGCACACAAATTTCTAAATTTCCAAATTCTAAAATTTACCATTGAAAACTTTGTAAATTTCCTCGAACTCTCCAGAAACTCGTAAACTTTCGAAATTTATAGTTTCTGAAGTTTCTTACCACCGGTTCGTTCACATTTCTCGGTTGTATAAATATTGGACCGATTTAGATGAAAATTTCCATGTTTGCCATGATAAATCGTGGGCCGGACTTAATCTCTTCTCTCAGAGACTTTGTAACTGCGATAAATTCGCGTCGAATCGCGGATGTCCCCCGCTAATTTTGTTGGCCAGCCAAATCTCGAAAAGCTAGCTAACGATCGCAGTAAAATCGCTGCAATTACAGAGATACGCGAAAACCTCGTTAATTACGGCAATTACCTTGTTCGAAGAATTGCATCGTGTCACGGTTCGTACAAACTCGACTCGAAGCTTTTCTGATGCATATATTTTCTTTCAACCACAACCTGTTATCACCGTTGACACCGTCGTTGTTCATAAAAATTGTTATCGGAGTTGCTCGTGCCTTTCTTTTTTTCAACGAAGAAACGTGCAGTATGTGATAACGGTTTTTATCGAAATTAAATTAACTTAATTAAGTGTAATTACAGTGAGGAATTATCGGACTTCTACATTATTTATCGAGTAATCGTAAAGAAGAAATATTTGGTAACATAATGATGATAACGTATCTTTCATTGCTTAACATTTAATTAAATATTCGCTATATTTAAACTAATTAGAGAATTTTATCTAGGATAATTTTAAAGTTTCCTAGATATTCGAAAAATGATAGATTTGAAATTCTTGAAATTTCAAAAAAAAATATTAGAAATTTGATATTTTTTCTAAGCTGTAAATGAATAAATCCTAAATCACCGAAGTATATTTTTACAAACTGAAATTTTACCCCCGAAGAAAATAAAAAAATAAACAAGCGCAATTACCATTCATGGTCACAGCTATCGACCCACATTACGATCCGAAAAATGAACAACGCTATCGGTTTTTCTTATTTAAATTAATGTTTACGACCCCGCTGTAAAGCGGAACCGGACACGGGCGTCGATTTTAAATGGGAACACGGCCATTGTCGACTTTTATGCTCTCGCATAAATCGCTTCTAGAAGCGGCCAGCTATCGCCTCCACGACTTTTAATTCGTGCTTTTATGCCAGCTATCGTTTTCAAATTGACCCACCAAGTCGAACCGAGAATAATGGACAGAAATTGAATTCTTTGTTGATAAAACGTTAATCGAACGTTCTAAAAATAGATCATTCTCAATGATTCATTTCAAGGTACCTTGTATCTACATGATTAATTTAAAACTGTTAACTGTAAATTACAAAATTTGAAATTCTCCAAATTCCAAACTTAAAAATTTAGAAATTCTCGACACTTCTGTTTGCCAATAAACTAAAATAAAATATCAAGCATCTACCCAATTACAACGAACCAAAAATTCAAGTATCTACCGTTGTAGAACATAAAAGAAGATGGACTTTCGGAAAGAGAATCCAAGAACGAGAGCAAGGATCATCTTAATTCCGCGAAGCCCGGGAGCGAATGGCCGTCGAATTTCTCATCGGAGGGTGAACCGCCATTTTCTCATCGCTATCGCCGATACCGGAAATGGTACATCGCTTCCTCCTCAGCCGTGGCGTGGCATCAGGATGGAGGCGTCGGTGGCAGTAAAACTCGGCTCGCCTTCTGAATCTCGACTCGGCCGTAATTTCGCGGCTCGTTTTCTCGTAATCTTTCGAGTTTCAAGAGCGAGCAGGAAAAAGAAGAAGAAGCAGAAATAAAAAAGAATCCGAGCATCTCGGACGATCGAACGGAAGGAGAACAGGTAACGCGGTGAAAATAGCGAAAATCTTCGAGAGAGGCAGTTTCGTTGGGCGGAGTGGACGAGCTAAACAAACAGTAGTTGTTGCCCGGTGCAATCACGTAGCGAGGATCGTTGGAGCGGGTAGCATAGCAAGGTGAAAATTGCCGGTTTGCCGATGCCTCTAGCAAAGCCTGAACCCGCTTCGAACGTTGCGAGCCGTACGACCGCCTCGAAGCCATAGTTACCCGCCGGGGGCAGTCGACGTTCCGTTTTATCGACGCAAATTGCCCGGAAAGTCGACGGTCCGCGCGTGTGCCCGCCGCTTACACGCTTCCATTTTACTCCTCCGAGATGGTTTGTTTGCACAGACGATCGTTCGCGAACGGATTTTCAACCCGGAATGGCAAACGGAATCTGTAAACTCGAACAAGGTTTCAGTTTATTCCTTCCTCCGCCATTTTTCCATACGATACACACCCTCTAACACTTTTAACCCATAATTTACAGGGAACGCTTTCAATGTAACCAAAGGAGAGAAAGAAAAAAAATGACGGTGTCACTTTGTAGTTCAATTTTCCTCACCCTCGGCTCATTAAAGGGGGAAAGAGCTAGCCAGGCGATAAAGAGAAATCGGTTAAGAAAAATGTGACCGTGGTTTTTACAACGGCGGCTCTTTTACGAGGACTTTCTTCGATGAGGCGAAAGCAATAAAACGTTCGACGTATGCGTAGCTATCTCGTTCACCGTGCTTCCCTTTTTTCGCCACTTCTTTCCACGGGTTTCTTTTCACAGCTGCAACAACGCCCATCGTGTCCAACCATCGTCACGATTACTGTTCGTTACACTTTCCTCGGCTTTTACGATTTTCCAGCTGGTTTGCATTTCAACCCGCCCTCCGGTGTCCGCTCCACCCACGGAAGGGTAACCTTCTCACCCCTTAAACGCGGCACGGTTTTATCTGTATACGGATCTTTGTCGAGGTACGAGTGTCTCGCAATGGATTCCATTTTCTCAAATAATCCCGAAAACGCAATAGAAAGCTCGTAAAACGGCCAGGCAATCTCGCCTTTACGAGCTCCCATGGTTACCGATGTCAACCGGCAGCCCGTTGATACTTGAAATACGGAAACCGGCTATCGGGCTCCTCTCCAACTAACCACCGTCAAGTCGAACGACGTGATATCAGGATTATTGATTCTGGAACGTTCGTAAGCGAAAAGCTTGCTTTCCTCGAGTCGCTTCAATTTTTCCAAAACAAGAATTTTGATAATTCTTATTTATAGAAAATTCCGTAATTTCCGCCTTTTCTTTTTATAATAGTATTTAAAAAAAAATATTTACTCTCACCGTGAAGGTTGGCCGCGTTCCGGGTGGCTGACGAACATGGGTGTGCCTGGGCACCATGGACCCATTGGCCGGTCATTATGGGTCCATTAGTCGTGTCGAGTGACGAGCCATGAATTCGTCTCGGATTTCATTCTGTAAACCGTAAAAACGATCGGTATAGTCTCTGTCCAACGAAACACCGTTTCATTTCCTTGTTATAAATATAAAACAAATATAGAATCAAGGTGATATAGGATGAAGATTAATTAGCAAAGTTGATCGCGGACGGTTCTGATTAATAGGGAGTCGTTTCGAAGATCCAGAAATGAGCAAAGATAAATCGTCGTGGCTGGGATTCCTGAAATCTGCAATGTAACGAGACCGTGTTCCCGGTTTCTTTGTGTTCTTTTCTTAGTCAACCACCCACGGCGTGGCGACGTGTTCTGAAACAAGAAGAAAAGTCGGTGCCGCTGGAATTTATGTGTTTCCAGAGAAAGGGAAAGGAAATTCGAGAACACCGGGAATTGGTGGCTGTTAAACAGGGCCACATGTCGAGACACTGTTGTCGCTAATTTCGGCAATTAACTAAACGTCTGTCTGGATCTGTAAAATAAATACAGTTCCTATAATCCAATTAACATCCCGAATCCACATCGTCCCCCGTAAAAATAAATTTTTTCTAAGAAATAAAAATTATGTACAAAAGTTTTTATTTTCCTACCCTAATGCCTTCAACTTAACGAATATCCTAAGGAACTTATTTATAGAATAAAATTACAAATAAACAACGCGTCTGTCTGTTAATTCCTTCTCGTTGCTCTTTGTTCACCCCTCGTGTTGCTTTTACAAGTCGGAGGGAGCTGATCTCGCTCGTTGTTGAATAGCGGCGATTCTCCTCCTGTTACCCACGGCACCGGAAATCATGCTGCTGCGCATTGGTTCCGGCCGGACGAAAGGACGTTTCGCGTGCAAGTGATGCCCTCTTGGTTCCAGGGGTTCCTTTTTCGTGAACGGTGTCTCCCAGAAGGACTGATCGATGCCGAACAGCTCGCCGTCCTTGAATAAACAATATTCAAAATAATGATTCACAACGTCTATCACAAATCCTACCAACAGAGTCTGCGGCATCTGTTCCATCAGCGTTTCCGGTAGGAACAGGCACAATATCGCAGCGAAGACGCACGACAATCCGAGGATGATCATCGGTAGATTGTACATTATCCTTTCGGAGAAAGCGATGAAAGGGCTGAGTATGGAGGTGACGTATCCCATCACGTGAATGAAAGCTATACCCTCGCCTCGAACCACCGTTGGCAGCAGTTCTGCAGCGTATTGCAACGCGATGTTCGCGGCGATGTTGATGAAGAACCGGGCGCAAATCGCGAATGTTGCATAGGTAACGCCTACGTGGACGGTGGCGGCCATAAGACTGAAGGAACCCGAGATGAAGACCGCGGCGAACAGTGTCCATCTTCGACCAAGCGTATCCAGAACGTAGATGATGAGCACCTCTGCAGGAAATTCGGTGGCAGAGGCGATAGTGAAGGTCGTGAAAACGTCTATACCAAGGGACGTTAGACACCTGACGTGACCGTCGTATGCCATCTGAATGCCTCCCCACGAGAGGAGCAGTAATATAGTGATTCTCCTAATGCGTACAGTGTTTAATTAATAAATTTGTTAATTCCGCTGTTCGATGTCTGATACCTCAGGCGTTTGGTTTTGAACAAATCCAGCAAGGTGTGAACTTCCAAAGACAACGTGTCCGCCGTTCTGTTACAGTCCTCGAGGAATTCTTCGTACACGTCCTCGGGTAATTTTACATTGTTTACCTTCTCGATTTTTCGCAGGATTTGCATCGCTCTGTTTATTCGTCCCATACTGATCAGCCACCTTTTACGAATACCATAGGCTGGTAATTTAAAAGTACCAATAACGCATACAACACGATGTTTAATATCGAATGAAGATGATATTGATATACACCTGATGCTTTCAGGGATGGCGAAAGGTGCGACGATCACGACGGCCATCGGAACGGCCGTTACCACAGCGAACAACCTCCAATCGGATATCCCGTATGCTATCCAGGGCAAGCTCATCGCCCCGAGGGCATAGAATGTCCCGTAGGACATGTTGGCGGCGAACGTGCGCCAGTTTGGTCCTACGTACTCCAGAACGAGTATGTAAGCGATCACGAACATGTTGTCGTAGGCTATGCCAACGACGAACCTGCACGCGCAGAAATGCCAGAATTTCTTCGAGTAAATTGTGCTGATACCACCAATTAACGCCAGTAAATTCGTTATCACCAGAGTTGGTACCCGGCCGTATTTGTCGGCCAACCAACCGAATATCAAACCACCGAAAATCGAACCGACGAAGTAGATGCTTTGGGCTAGTGTTACTTTGTACGCGTGATCGCAGACCTGAAAATGAAATTTCAATTTTTGTTATTTAAATTGAAAGTTTAAAAATCGAATCGTTTCAATCTACCCAATTCTGTTCGGCCGCGATGGACATGTAAGGCACGCCGCTCTTGGTCGTCTTGTACTCCCAGACGTTACATTTTTTCATCGGCCAACTTTCGTCGGACATGTTTCTCTTTATCGCCGTTTCTACCGGTAAATCGTATATCCAGCATCTCGAGTAAGGCAGGTGATGGCCCTCGAATGGTACAAGCTTCGATTTAGGTATCAGAATCTCGCGTAGCCTATCGACCGGCATACTTTCGACCTGAGGAAGTTTGCACCAGTACTCGGCGGGCAAAACCGTGAGGAACACTTGGGAGAAGTAGACGAAGGATAAAAACACGCAGAAAATTGTCAGCACGCCGAATAGGTACTTTTGGTACTTGCCGAATTGACCTGGAAAAGGGAAATACCGATTAGAATGATTATTTATTATTAATCGATTCGACCAAAGTTGAAAGTGTTCCTTTTAATTAATAGTGTTTGGTAATTTTAATTATGTACTTGCCCATGTAAATTAGTATATCGTCGAGAGTCGGAGCTTCTTCCGCTGGTACATTCCAAGGGAATAATGTAGATAATTTAGATTGCACTGGCATCTTGATGTATTATCACTTTTAATAAAAAAATTCTTAATCACATAACCTGTGATCAATCTTGGTACACTATGAACTTGTCGCCTTAAAGTCATTAAAAACTTTAGGGTGATTAATCGAATCGATTTCTATCAGAAACATCGCTTGAAAATCAAATAAAAAAATTCAGCTCCTCAGGAGCAGAGATTAATATAAAATCATCCCTTAATTGCACATAGAAGAAATTACGTTTCATCCCCTTTTTAGCTCTACGAAATCGTGCCAGAAAAAGCAGAGAAAATCAGGCTTCAGCTGAGCTGAAGATAAAGAGATAGTTCCACCCCAATGGTTTCACCTTACCAGGAAGGGGGTTGATAAAAGGAGGCCTCGTAGAAGGGAGCCAATCAGAGCCGGCGTTTAGCTAATGCGTGTAACGTGTGCCTTGGGACGATTCTGCGCCTGTTTCATGCTTCTCGTTACGTTAGGGGATTATAGTCACCCCCTATCTCCTTTCACCCTTGGACGAGGTTACTCTATGCTTTTAGCGATGAGCACCTTACTCTATCACCACATCGCAGTCACGGAAAATTTGATTTTTAACAAATTTCTAAAATTCTGTCGAAGCCATCGCTACCCTTAAACTCGATTTCTAATTTTCAGGGGCGAGTAAATCCGGCGATTTACATAACTCCATGGAAACGGTATCACTCTCCCTCTCGAGGAATCGAAACCCCGCCTTTTCTAATAGAGGGGTGGGTGGATTCCTCCGGAGAATATAAATGGTCGTAATTTAAGCTTCTCCTCAGGGTGAAAGTACGCCCTCGAAATTAGTAGAACGTAATTTTATTTCCGTGATACTGAGAGGGTTGATATATTAAATAATTTGAAGACCTTTTTGAGTGAAATATAAAGGAACATTAGTTTTGGAATTATTATAATTTCATATTTCATAAATCACAGGCGAGAATCATTTATGTACGTGCACGCGTTTTCAATTAATATTCATTAAAAATTACTGGCGGAGTTTGATTAAATCGATGAAGCATGGAGTCAACTTGTCGTCGCTTTTCATTTCATTTTATCCAGAATTAACTGTTCTGTCGGTGACGTAATTCGCGTTAAGTTTCCTCGTTTTTCGGATCGATCCGACGACGAATCAGGGCGCAGTTAGCTAATGCGGGCTCGCGTTGGCACAACCCCCGAGGGGGTGGCTCGGTGTTACTTCACTGACGTAGCCGGGGGTGAATCGTGCCTGTGGCAACGATCCCGTCTCGCAATTTTCTCAAAAATATTTCCTTGGCTTTTAAATAAAAATCCTTAAACAATTTCAAATACACAAAGTTAAACAAAAATCCTCTTTGCACTATTAACAAAATTTTCAGAAATATTTCTGATAATCTATTTTATTATCTTGGGACGTTTAGAAAATTTCGAAGAAAACTTATCTCACCCCCCAGTATTACATTCTATTAATCCATGTTTCTTGAACAAATATCGAAAATCAACGAGGAACGGGTTAATAATAACCCGGATAATATTTCCAGTCCACAGGTCAAACTCGCTCACCCTTAACCAAGCGAGCATGATATTTTTTCATTTTTATCCAACAGCAGTGCCGTTTAAGGGTGAAAACTCCGCGACGTTAGCGGCTCTAATTTCCGTCCGAGGGTGGCTTTTGCCGCAATTAATTTCCCGGGAATCCAATTAATTCCTCGCTGCCGGCCAATGAACTAACGTTGTTTGCCGAAGAAAACGTTGTCTTTCAGGGGGTGGCGAGGGTGAGATAGGGGCCGCGAAACGAGCCGAGGCGTCTCTGCAAGAGCTTTCCGAGGAACGAGAGAGGGAGTAGATAAAATTACATTATCGCCTAAAGCGTTCTCCAGCATGGAGAAAGGGAGAAAGAGGGAGAGAAAACAGGGGTGAAAATCACGTCCCGTAATTCCCGGGCATTAAGGTAAACGTCCAAGTCGCAGGGCGCAGGTTCGGTCACCATGGAAACTGACACTCTTCCCACCACCGGTTTCCCTTCAATCGATAACTTATGAAACCATCCTTGCAACCCTCGCGCCACACACCCCCTCGGCGACCCTCTATGATCCTCCTCCCGGATGCTGGGAACGTTTCGCGCGATGGCGACCCTTTCTCGAAGCTGAACAAATTTTTTCTTTTCGTCTATTTTTCAGTTCAACTGTTACCTTATAAAATTCATAGCTATTAGAATCATGTTATTTTTGAAAAATAGATGTAATATTCTTGCCAATTTTAATTCTACATTTAATTTAATGAAAAATTATTTTAGAATTATAAACAGAGGAGAAACACAGGGAATAAAGGAAAGTTGAGTGGAAACAACTGGCACGACTTAATTCGACGTAATGCCGGGTCAAAGCAGCTGACCTTTCGCGAACGAGCCGTGATTTAAGGCGATGATTGGTCTCGGTTAATTGGCGGCCTTGTCTCCCACCGGTGAAACACTGATAAATACATCGTGATACCTCGGTGAGACAAAATGCCACGGTAAAGAAGAAGAGGAAGCAAGGACGAGTTACTCGTTTTCATTAAGTTCGCCTAAACTGCCATCAATTTCAAGCGATGAAAGTCAACCCGACCCCATTCGACACGTATTTTCGCGCCATTTGTATGGATATTTGTCCGACCCGGCGATCCGTTCGCTGCCTAATTAAATCAGCTGGGAATTCCCGGTATTTATTGGGATTTCATGTAAATCAGCCTGCTCGACGCGAGAACCATTTCTTTAACGACGAACCGGCGCGTGACTTCGTTCGTTACCATTTACCATTTTCCATTTCTTCACCTTTGTATTCAGGTACTCGTAATCGCCTAGAATTGACGCCCGAAGATACGCAAAATAAATCATCAATCCTTCTGACGATTCTAGAATTTATTTTTCAATGAAAAAATTAAACAAAATAGAAGCGTGAAAACGTTCGGCCAATTTATCACGTTTTTTTATCCCCCACCGTTGTTGGAAAGAGTCGGTGAAAAACGAGGCGATGGAAATGAAAAAATGACAAAAAAGCGACGAGGTGTAAAACACTGGGCGGGCCAGGAATGAATTTTAATTCGGCACGCGCGAAATAACAAACAAAAGGAAGCGAAACCAAACAGGCCGATTGGAAATCGAATCGATCCGGGCGACGGTATCGAAATCGAAATCGGAAACGACCGGTCCATTCCACGGGAAAACCGATTGGGTTTCGGTCATTAAAACTGCTCTGCCTATTTTTTTCGCTCAGACATGTGTGTTTCCTTTGTTTCGTCTCCTCGTGGAATCGAAACCGGATGTGTTCTGTTTGCAGTCTCCAATTTTTTCTGTCGACCATTTGAGAGCCTAAAAATTAAATAAATTCCCTTTCCTATCGATTGGTGATTATTGAATTCTTTGAATTGTGAAAAATTTTCGATAGAAATAAAATTTAAACAACAATTCCTCCAACCCTGCCAAACATCCCTAAACATTCCTCAAGTACCAAACTTGTTTGTCTAAGAAAGAACAGACAAAGAAAACGATGTTGAAGAAGAAAATCGGTAAAAAGGAGAGACATGGTGGTAGAGAAGAAAAGGAGATGGTGGATGCCGAGGGGTAGACGAGGGTAAAGGGAGCAGAGCAAACATTATAATAAATCAGCACCGTTCTGACGTGAATGTAAAATTGCCGGAACCGATCTGGTCGTGTATAACACGAGGGGTGGAAATTCGACTGTGGACCGGCAGCAAAGGGGGTAGAGCAAGAGGGATGCACGGTTGGAAACGATGGCCCATTGTGAGAGTTATTTGTCATGCTGCCTACGAATCTATGGGGTTCGACGATACCGACGATCCCGTGCCAGCTCGTTCCTATTGGCCGATTATCGATGGTTATAGCCTGTACTAAGCGCCATATGTAAAGGAAAGGGGGATCATCCTGTTCCTCACCCTCCACTATCCTCTATAATTCTACTGTTCCATGGAAGATGCTACCTGTCATCTACACTATCCTTTCTTTTTTTTAATTCCATGGAAGAAAGAACACGTTCCATTTTCCTTCTTTTTTGGAATAAAATTTTACTTTACCTCTTCATTAACACGTTAAATGTCACAGTGAAAATGGCTATTGAAATTCTAATTAATAAGAATAGAAATAGTTAATTTTCAAATTGCAATTTAAAAATTTAGATAAAATTATAATTAATAACTCCTATCGAAAATTTCATTCGATAGTAATTAAATGCTTGAAGGGTTGAATAGCAGTGAAAGGGTGAAATATGAACGAAAAAGGAATACAATTGTTTCATCGTATATCACCCACTTATTACCACTCGACTCGGAGTCAGACGAATCCACGGTGAGAGGAGTTGCATAAAAGTGCAACGTTGCACCCTCGGGGAGGCTGTGGGAACGCGGCTTGAAGACTTCATTATTTTTTGAGGGGAGAAGTGCCCTTTCTCGTTAGGGGATTCCTTGCCCAGGGCGACGCGAGACCGTCTTGTTAAAATTCTCCGAACTGCATATAACCTGGACTCGTTTCCCTCTTCCCTCTTCATCGTTCCTTCTGTTACTGATCCTACCATTTCTCTTCAGACTCGTTCACTCACCTCTCGAGCAATATTCTAGCCGAGAAGACTATAAAACTGACGCCTCAATCTCGCGATAGACGTTGCTAGCCACGTTTTCTTCGATGAGGCGATTCGAAACGGACGTTAACGTAGAATTTTTTGAAAATTTATGAAATGATAATTTCGAGACCGGATTGTTTCTCGACGGTGGCTTACCGTTTGTTAACCTCAACTCTGATTGGCCCGCCGTTTAGGGGATGATTCCTGGCGCGATAGAGTCGCCGGTTGGCCGGATTTAATTAATCGATCGCACGCATTACCGGCCGACAAATGGTGGCCCGGTGGTTGAAACGTTCGCGGTTAATGTCGCCGATCGTTCGTCATGAAAGGAGATCTTACCAACGACACTGTAAATTCACATGTTGCTCGCGAACGATTCTAGGATCGTAATTTTTCGTATCCACGGTCATAAATACTCCAAGAGCGACTATAAAATTCCATTTGCTAACGCGCGACGCGATGCAGCTCGATGCACCAGACTT